AATTTATTCATGACAAATAATGAGTAATAGGTGAAAAAAATTTTAGCAACAGATTTTTAGTTTCCTAGATATCCATGAAATTTACTTTCAAACCAAGAATACATATAAGATTTTAAAATGACATCAAAGCAAGTGTTCCAAGTTGTTTCCAATATTTTCTATACGCAATTGGGTTCGCTGAATCCACGATGTCCCACTAACGCGGCCTATACCAGTATCTGATTTTATAATCCTTGCTCAGTATTAACGTCCTCAATATTCACTTCTTCAGCTGCAATGTTACATGCCTGTGTTAACTACTGTATGCAATCCTCAGTATCAGTCAAGAGGACAGCATCATCTGCATAGCACTCAATCTTGATTTTGTACTTTGTAATGTTTCTAATTCTTTTATCCTTACTTTGTCGAACGTTTTGGTTAGATCAACGACACAAAGGAAGGCTGCCTGAACTTTTTTCGCCGGAGTTCTATCTGATTCTTTGATACATTTTCCTCAACATTGTGTGATCCGTACATGTCATTCTTCATCTCAATCATGTCAATCAGGAAGACATGAGCAAACGACCCACTCAAATGTATGTAAACATTTTTTTGCAGAAGATGAAATAAGTACGATGGTATCAGTTCTAAACAAATGAGATAGTTTGGTGCAGTTTGTATCTGATTTCGCCATCTTTACTCAATATTAACTTCGGTGACGTACACTATGTGTTTTAAGTGATCCCAAAACAAAAAAACAAGAGGATTGAGGTCGACCTGTCCATCTTTCGGGAAGCACCTTATCTAGATGTCGCCGTATATATCGGATATCTAGGAAATCAAAAATCTCTTACTACAATTTTTTTCACCTGTTAGCCATTATTTGTCATGAGGAATAAATCCCCAAGTTTATGCGTATAGGTTGAGAATCACGATAAGTTAATTTTTAAAGGGCAATATGTTAAAGACTTTAGCGAAACTGGAAGTGATTACTTTTTTAATATCATTTACGATTTCTCTGTGATTCCCAGCATCTTGTAGAATATAGGAAGAATTTTAGGTTCGTTTATGTTTTATAATGAAGAGTTATCGTTATTCTCAGGTTCTATGTCATTAGTGTTGGTGTCATTATTCAAAACATCTTGATTTTATGCTAAGTGTTCGTATATCTATGGATAACGGTGTTAAATGAGCTGCCTTTCGTTTTCCATACTTATTAACATAGGTTGAAGTCTGCCCAAGAGCAGATCCAACTTCATTTAACCGGCAAACCCAAAAGGATTATCTAAATTTATTAAAACCACGTTGTTTGGAGTGTTATAGGAATGTATAGGGCTCAAGTAAAATTGTAATATGTTGCAAAAAAAAAATGTATTGATGTGATATGAGTTGCCTACTTAGCCGGTTTAATAGCAATTACATTTCGAGTGGTCATTTACACTATTTTCGAAATATTTATTAATAGAAATAAAATTTTTGCACTTTAAATTTCAATTAGAATTAAATATAATTTTAGTAAATAATTGAATTATAATTGAGTGAAATAAAAATATTTGGAATGTTTTTATGGATTGCATCCATTGCACCACGTTGGTTTCTTGTAGTTAGGTGGAAATGGGTGGAGTCCCGTAACTATCAAGATTGGTCGCTTGCGCACGCAGCAAAGGCTATTATTTTCTTTTTAAATGAACCGCCATTTCGAACACGCGACCAAACACGTGGGACTTATTGAGGCCGGGCCGGCTCCTTGCGTTCTCCACCCACGCAATTCCCTAACACATCAACCATGTTGTCTATACCTTCGGTTTTATTACAAATAATTTTAAAAAAAATGATAATTTTTGATTGACTTTAATAAATAATACTTTTCAATAAAAGTTATCTTTTATTGGGGAAGGTCGGAACAGGAAAATAAAACAAATTTGTGTACTTAACTCAACTCGAGAAGCGTTTTAAAGTAAATATTTAACATCTCGCGTATACGATAATGTAAACATTTCTTCTATACTACATCGCCAACAAATCCTTTTCTTATTGGACAATTGTTGGTCATCACCTGAATGCAAAGATTAAACTTGTCCATTGACCACGAAATGAATATGAATCATCGACCACTTTATGATAAAATTTAGATCCTTACATTGTTCTTCCTCATTTCTGCATCAACTAATTTTGAATCTAAACCGTGGCAAAAATTAAATTTTATATTTTTATAAAGGTTATTGTACGAATTATACAGGCGTTACTAGGCGCGATACATCGAGACGATGACGACGTCGGTCTTTCGTACTGCATCAATGAAGTGTTGCTAATTATATCATAGAGTTCACCTTCTTTATCGCGCGGCGCGTCGTCTGTGTCGCGTCATCACCTCATTTTTTTTTAACAACTTTACCAACTCAATCAACATTTTGTATCATAACACGTGTTGCTTAACCTTTAACTACACGCGCCCTAAAACATAACGTTACTTACGTTATGTACGTTACTTACGCATGGTGTATTCTATACACCACTATTAAAATACCAACATTTAATTTATTTAGAGTAAGACACTAAGTTAAGCTATTTCCTGATTTATTTTTAAGAAAGAACATTATCAAAACTCGTTTTGAAATTATACAAAAATTAAAAAAAAATCTTATAATGTAGGTAAAAAAAACGAATTAAAAAACAAGCAACAAAGAACACTGGAACCTGTTTTAATTCGACTACCTTTATTCACTATTTCCGGAAACTTGTTGGTCATTTTTGCACGTTGGACAGGTAACAGTAGTAACAGCATGTTCTTTGCACACCGGCTGGTTGCATATACTACAAGTGATTGTTGTTACCCTATTCTTTTGCCTTCCGCAACAAAAACACCTTTTCCGTATTTTTGCTGGCGGTTCTTCGTCACATTGCTTCAAAGGCCTTTTGTATTTCGAGAGAAAAACCTGTGTATCAAATGGTAAACTTTTGACTTCTGCCCTTTCTTCCAGGNTCTAATGAAGTTAGTTTGTCCTTGGCTTTTGGGAGTGTGTTCCGAATCTTGTTTCCCGTATCGCACCACGATGTCGTTTTTCTTGGCAATTCGTTCCGTCACACCTGAAACAGGGAAGACAGCTTTCTTTCTGCTTTTGCTGCTTGGTGGCCCGGTTGATGTCCCTCGCAGTAATCCCTCGGGAATGAGCTTCTGGCGGAGACATCCTTGACTGGTACCCTGGTAAAAAGAGACTCAACATCGAAACTTACCAAAATATCCTCAGCATCTAGCTTTATACCCTTTACCGATTTCACAAAATGTGTAGAATCCTTGACATATGATTCCGTGTTTCCTGTAAAAGGAGACAGAATCTTTGCGAGATATTTGACCAACTGGTATGTTGGGGAGTTGATAGCGCTCACGATAGGGCGGAGGGGGACGTCTGGTTTATGAATCTTCGGTAGTCCATAAATTCTTGGTGGTACCGGATTCTGCACAAACAATCCTTTCTGCCGTTCTGCTGGAATTCCTGTGAATTTTATCAGGTCCTTCATTTTCCTTACGATTCTGTCTGTGGGGTCCTTCTTGATCTTTCTGTAGGTGGCTGGGTCCAGTAGGTTCATCATTTTGTCGTCATATTCTTTCTGGACCATAACAACGGTGGCATTCCCCTTGTCTGCTGGTAATACAACGATTACTGACTTTTCTGTAATAGACCGTAGTACCTTCTTTTCACCAACCGTCAAGTTGGATTTTGGTGGTTTTGCTGACTTTAGTACTCTCGCAACTTCTTGTCGGATCTCTTCGGCTTCCACATCGCAGATGATTTCCTCTTTCGGGACCTTCCTCGGGGCGATTGTGTAGTTCAATCTTTTAGCGAGCACAGTGGTTTCATCTTGTGTTACTGGGACACTCGATCTGTTGATGACGATTGTTTCTACTGGTAAACTATTACTTTTCTTCTTTTGTATCTGGCGTTCCAGCGATTCAAACTTCTCGATGTGCGTGTCACGGGTCTTCTGGAATTCACCAATTATTCAAAGGGCAATATGATTTGTAATGAAGATTTATCGTTATTCTCAGGTTCTATGTCATTACATAACTCTTCTAAGACTTCAAAATCTTGAGTGTTACTCGTATGAATATGAGAAGTTGAGCTGTGGAACTAATATCAGTGGATTCGTCGAGTGCTAATGAAAAAAATTCAATGATCTTAGGTTTTTCAGTTAATTGTTCCGCAATATTACAAAGACATAATTTGTCTTTGGATAGTCATATGATTCAGTTGAATTTTCTCAAACTTTTTTGCTGCTTCTGGACACATTTTCTTAGCGGCAATTTCTATGCATTCTTTTACAAAATCCCCATCATTGAAGGGGCGACTTCGCTTTGCTATCATTCGAGAAATTTCATAACTAACTTCTGTAGCTGTTTCTGAATCTTGAATGGGTTTTATAAACATAGCTTGCTGACTCGGTCTGTGCATCTCTGCCATAAACAAATATAAACATTTAATCATACATTATTAAATTAGATCTATTTTTTATTGTATTAAATTAGTCGCTGTGACAAATATATTTGCATGGTGTAAGTTGACCTTTACACATTATGCGTTATCAATTAACACGTTTTATTTTGAATAGTTTCAATGTCAGCTTTGAATTAAGCCGTGAACCATTCTGACCTGGCTAACCTTTTAAATAGTTTATTGCTTTATTAATTGATCAGATGATTTAAAATAGTCTTATTTGGTTCTAAATCGTGTTGTTTGACCTATACGAACAATTTTTTTTTCAAAGTTGATTGTAGCAATAAATAATTTAATTTTATTATTACAATAGACAGTCATCAAATTGATGACATGGTTATTATTTCTAAGCAACTTAGCACTTTTACACAAAGAAACCTGTACTTGTGTTAGTAAAATCAATTGTTGATAATGCGTAAGAATTTGTTGAAGATTCTACCGGTCCGAGTAGGCACATCTTTGAAGAAAGACAAAGCTATAGACGAGTCGGTTATTCGAAACGCGTTCAACCAACAGCAGACGTTCTTCGGTTGCACCAAACGGTTAGTCGTTTCGGTTGGCGAACTGGTTCTTTTAGAATCCAAGTCTTTCATTGTTAAAACGATTTTTTAACTGACCATTTTTATTTTGAATAAAATTTTGTGATTAGGTGAAACGAGTGAAAAAACGGCTTTACAACAACCGGTAAAGTTACAGCCGTCTTGGGAGGAAGCTAATTTACCGGAAGAAGAACTCAATTTTCAAAAGATGAGTATGGATGAGGCTAGTTTACAACTTAATGCGCCCAAAGATCGGTATCAATTGGTTTATTGGATCTTTTTGTTGCACGGAATTGGTGTGTTGACCCCGTGGAACATGTTTATTACAGCAAACGATGTAAGTTTGAATTATTCAATATATATTATTAGTTATGCAAAGTCGAACAATTCTAATTTATAATATATAGTAAAATATGATTAGAAAGGATAATATACCATAACTTTAACAGCTTGTTGAGGTAGACTTTTTTAGACCTTGAACTCTTACGAATTTTAGATTAGGATATGAAAAACGATTTGTTGTGTATCGAGTCCGTTTACATAAACAACATCGTTTATTTTTTGATAATAAATCTTTCGCGTACTTTGCCGTTACAATAAATGAAGTTTCGATAATTTTCTAACTTTAATTTAAATACCTCGAGAAATGTATCATCAAACCAGTTTATATTGCGCCAGTTTCTTTGATTATATATAATATGGATTGAGCTAACGAGAGAGATAGCTTGCGCAAGGTGATCGAACCGAGATAGACATAGAAGCGTACTGCCATATAATGGGTGTACTGATAGAAGTGAGATAGATATAGAAGCGTACTGACATATAATATATCTATCTTTGTTACACTTTCACATTATCGCTTTCCATCTGCGTCTATTCACCTTGAGCAACATTTTTGTTAGTAGATATATTCAGTTAGCTCAATCCATATTATATATAATCAAAGNTTTTCAGTATGATTGGCATTGTACATTATCTGACTATTTATACCTGCTATGTTTAGCAGTTGAAAAAAGACAAGTAATGGCCACCTTCTGGTTCTTCTAGATACCGAATACGTGCTGCACATCTTGTCAACAGTGTCGACTCCACCTTTGTTAGCATTATAATCCAGAATAATATCTGGCTTCTTGGTTTCGGGATCTACTGATGAATTGCTATGCATTGATGACAGCAAGATTACCGCTTTGCCCTTTTTTGGAGTAAATGACACGATGGTAACATCCTTTTGAGACCCAAATATCGAAGATCCTACTTGTCTCTTTTTATTCGGCAAAAACTCTTGTGGAAGTTCCCTCTTGTTTTTTTTCAACGTTCCTACCAATGTTATTTTTTGGGTAAGAAGCTCCTTTGCCAATGGATAGCTGGTATACCAATTGTCGCAAGTTAAATTTCTATTTTTACCTTTCCACGGTTCTAGTAAGCGATGAATTACGTCAGCTGGTTTAGTAGATTTGTTATAGCTTTCCACAATATATCTCCATATTGGTCACATAGAAGGTTTTAGAATCACATAACACGAATGCTTTCATCCCATACTTAGCTGGTTTGCTTGGTAAGTATTGAATAAAGCTGCGTCTGCCTCCAAACGGAATTAACATTTCATCTATCGTCATTTGTGCATTTGTGCAAGACAATAATTATTTTGAAAATTTTCTATAAAACGATCAAAAACAAATCGTAGGGCTGCGAGTTTATCCGTTTTTTTTTCTCTCAGTTCTAGTGACCTTATCGTCAAATCATAGAGCGCATAATATAAATAAAAACCTGTTGCACCCCATATTGGCCCTAAATATTTCACATCCGGTCCCATCTTTCGCCCACAACTACAGAGAGTGAGTATGATTTTCCTTTCTTATACCAGTCAAATATAACAATTATATAAACGCCAAAAATTAGTTTTTTGAAATATTTTTTGCATCTCCAGCTCTTTCGAAATTTGCTCGCTTTTTTTCTATTTCTATATTGGTGTACACAAGAATTTTTTCAAGTTATATCTCGAGAGCATTGCTTTGGCCCAGGAAAGATTCTAACTATATTTTTCTTACCAATTTTACTAAATTTAGATGCAAGTGAGCGTTTGCTCCATTGTGTCACTTTATTCTTTCCTAAAAAGTATTTCTCTTCCTCTTCTTCTTCAATGTCCCTCACCACACTGTCTGTGAAGGCGGCAATTTGATCGTCAGATTCCTGCTCTGAATCAGAGCTGTGATCGCTTTCGCTTATAACTTCCTCTTCTGATGTCTCTTCATTGCCTCCCACTTCTTCTTCCGAAACATCATCCCAAATAACTTGTGCTAGAGTCTCTAGCTCTTCTTGTGTGAGGCGTTTTGGGTCCTTAATTTTGACTCGATCCCTAAAAAAACAAGTACCTAACAACTTTTAAAAAAATGCATTGAATTTGAAAATACATTGAAAAAAAAACCAGTGAAATGTTATATTTGATAATAAAATAACTTTCAAAGATATACTCACATGGCTACACGCGCGGTGTATTTTGTTCACCACGAGGTTTTTCCACGAAAATACGAACAACCCGTTCACCTACCTCGCATGTATCTGACTGTAACTATTGTTGGCTAATCTAGATACTATAGTAAGACGATAGAGGGCGCATGATATCACTGTTGTCAACTTAACAGGTTTCTATACGTGTTTTGCTGCGCGTGGTGTATAAAGTACACCAGCGCGTGTAGTTAAAGGTTAAATATACAGGAATATACAGGTGTCTCAGCGAGACCGGTCATTAGTTCTTCNTATTATTAGTTTCATTTGGCATTTGACAGTGCCTACTGATACAATCATATTTATAGTAATTAATACTTACTTAAGTTTTTTGAATGTCAGAATGACATTAATTTTTTATTAGTAATTATCTTTTTTTTCATTTTGATGTGTTGGCGCCCCCCATGCAGAATTATGACGCCCCCCTAGGGGGGCGCGCCCCACAGGTTGAGAAACGCTGCCATAGCTGCTCTATTAGCATGTCATGGTGATTGGGTAGTTGGCTAAAATGTCTCTACAAAACCGATGTGTATGCAGCTTCGACCGATTCGTTTTTTAGCTTCTCGAAGTCTTTTGCAATCAATTGGAGATGTTCGACTTGTTGCAAATTATTTTTTTACGATTTAATTTTTTTTTTTAGTATTTCACAACGTACAAATTAAGTTATGATTACACCGGTCAAAATACAACTTATAGCGACACATTCTTACAAAATTTAGGATTCGCCTCGCAAGTTCCTAACTTAGCCTTTAATTGGCTAAACATTTTTGTAGTCTTGGGGTAAGTTAATTAAAGCTTCATCTCATTTAATTTTTAAGTAGATATCCTTTTAAATTTATTTTAGTGGTAACTTGACAACAAGGATTGTTTGGAGTATATGGGTTGAAGTCATAATTTTTCTTTTTACGATTATTTTAGCAATGATGGATACAAGCGGATGGCCTGGAACGTTTTTTTGGCTAACAATGTGTTCTGTAGTATTACTCAACAGTAATATTAAACATAAATTAATTTAATTTTTATTTTATCATTATTTTATTGTAGTGATGAACGGTGTTTATCAAAATACAATTTTTGGTATGGCCGCAAAACTACCTCCGAAATATACAGGGGCTGTAATTTTGGGTAGTAACATAAGCGGAACGTTCACTGCCATCGTTTCCGTCATTTCGAAATTGGTTTCATCGAACCAAAGGATGGCCGCCATCTATTATTTCATAACGGCTCTATTAGTGCTGTTAGTTTGTTTTGATACGTACTTTGCACTGCCTTTAAACGTAAAAACGTACCTTTCATTTTCGAATTTCGTCAAAAACGTTTGCTTAATGAATATTTCAGAGATTCTACAGGCACCATGAATTGAAAGAGAAACGGGACGCCGAATTGCGAAAAGGAAAAGATACCAAAACTGAAAAAACACCTTATTTGTTGGTTTTTAAACAAGCTTACCCGCAACTATTAAATATTTTTATGGTGTTTTTTGTAACGTTATCTTTATTTCCCGCAGTTCAAGCACGTAAGGTAATATTAAGATTTTTTTAACAAATCTTAATTTTTTTTTGTTTAGGTATTTTAAAAAGCGATGATAACTTCTTTGTACCTGACAATTTATATTCTGATGTTACTTGTTTTTTAACATTTAATATTTGTGCTATGCTTGGTAGTTTTTTTACGAAGTATTTTACCTGGGTAAGTAATCAAAAATTAATTTGATAAATTTCAGTTATTATTTTAACCTTCCATTACACTGTCACTACGGGTGGCTGCCCGCAGGGAGGGGTGTTATCTCCCCTGCTTTGGTCCCTCCTAGTTGACGATCTGATTGCGATAGTCGAAGCCGTTGGTGTGGAAATACAAGCTTATGCTGATGACATTGTCGTTATGGTCAAAGGAACCTGTTTGCCGAGGATATCTAAAGTCCTCCAGGTGACCCTAGATACCATTTGCGCTTGGTGTAAGGGAGAGAACCTCTCAATAAACCCGCAAAAGACAATTGTTGTGCCCTTCACCAGGAAGCGAAAGTTGGATGGACTAATCCGCCCAACTATCCAAGGTGAAGAAATTCCTTTCTCAAAGGAAGTCAAATATCTAGGAGTAATCCTAGACAAAACCCTGTCATGGAATGGACATTTGCAGGGAGTTTTGCACAAAGCTAGACTATCCTTGTGGACTTGTCGCAGTCTTTGTGGAAAAAATTGGGGTCTTACCCCTGAAAGACTGTACTGGCTCTATGTGACTGTGGTTAGACCTATGATCACATACGGAGCAGCAGCCTGGTATAGGAAAGTCCGACAGACTTCAGTTATCAGTAAACTTTCACGAATTCAACGAGTAGCTGGATTGGCAATCTCTGGTGCGATAGGCACAACGCCAACTCTAGCAATGGAGGTTCTGCTTGGCCTATCTCCTCTGCATTTGCATATAGAGAAAGTGGCTAGAACAACCATTTACAGATTTAAGCAATATGCTCAAAACTGTTCCGACATGTCCTACCAATGGGCTGCGGAAGACATTATAAGCACTGATACTGTGCTATCAATGCCGTCAGATTTGGCGGTATCACTATCAGTGATTAATGCTCGATACCAGATTGTACTGCCTGAGCGGCAGTCCTGGATCGAAAATGAAAATTCTCTGGTTCGGGCAGACATTTGCTTGTACACAGATGGATCAAAAACGCCTGAAGGGGTAGGAGCAGGAGTATACTGCCAGACACCTCGAATTAAGCAAGCCTACAGCCTGGGTACGTACTGTACTGTATTCCAGGCGGAAGTATTTGCTATTGACATGGGTGCTAAAATCCTTCTTGAAAGAGGGGTGAAGAACATGACAGTACGAATTTTCTCAGACAGTCAAGCCGCTCTCCAGGCGCTGCAAGCCGTGAAAACGGTGTCGGCTCTGGTTAATGATTGTAAGAGAACATTAAACACACTGAGTTGTGATAACAGAGTCTCTCTGATCTGGGTCCCGGGTCACTCTGGGGTTGCTGGCAATGAAGCGGCAGATAAGCTAGCACGAGATGGCAGCGCTGAAGCGTTTGTGGGACCGGAACCAGCAGTTGGTGTATCATTTGCGATGGCCAAATATAGGATTGGACTGTGGGCTGAAGAGAGACTTCGCCTACTGTGGACCAGTTCTCCTGGAATGAGACATGCTAAGGTGTTTATTAACATCGCCACTGTCAAACCCGGGAATATTTTAGGACTTGCCCGTAGTAGCATAAAAGTTCTAATGGGTGTTTTTACTGGGCACTGCCGATTAAAAGCACACCTCAACTTGTTGGGTTTAGCCGACGATGTTGAATGCCGACTATGTGCGGAGGAAGCAGAGACGGTTGAGCATGTTTTATGCCACTGCCCTGCCGTTAACCGTATCAGATTCTCAATTTTTGGGTCGCAGTTTATCTCCTCAAAAGATCTGAATGACCTTTCGCCGAGCAAGGTATTAATGTTCGTTAAGAGCATTGGACTGCACGGTGAAATTTGATAACGATATCTATCGGGGTACAATAGATCCTTAGGGTCGCGGTGCAAGGTTGGTTGGTCCGCCTACCCGATATGTATTCTATGTAATGTAATGTAATGTACACTGTAACTACAACTAACACTAGACCTAGAAACATTAGGCAAATATAGACTGTGCTTATTACATGATTTATTTTTGTTTTTAGCCCAAACCAAAATATTTATGGATACCAGTAACCCTAAGATTTCTTTATATACCTTTTTACCTCTTATGTAATTACAATTTAAAACAGACTCAAAGAACTTTACCAGTTTATATAACAAACGATTGGTTGTATTGGTTTGTTGCGATAACGATGGGTTTAACAAGCGGATATTTTAGTTCACTTGGGATGATGTATGCCCCAGGGTACGTTTTAATTATATCGAAATATTATAATTTATCTGTATTATTATTACAGAACGGTTGAACAACGCTACGCTTCAACAGCTGGAATGTTTGGTGGTGCTGCTTTAATTACCGGAATATTTTGTGGAATTTGTTCGGCGTACTTATGGCCATTAGTTATTACGCATATTGGTGTATAACAAAAATGTCTCGTGTACAATACAGAGTCAGAATGGGAAGTGAACGTGAATTTTGGATAGAGAGCGGCTCTGTATTGTACACGCAAATAACAACAACCGCCTAACAGACTGATAAGGGAAGACGTGAGTGGATGAAGGTGCTATGTAACACGGGAACAATTTTGAGTTATTCGCGTTTAAAGTTTTTTGTTTGGAACTTTTTACTATTTATTTCTTTTATTTCGTTTTTCATATTATATATTCAATTTATTTCAACAACAAAATATATTACAGTATAATAACTTTACAAAATGAAGATAAGTTAAGGAATTACAAGAATGAAAGATGTCATCTAAAGTATTTTATTATCGCGTAAAATATTTTCGTAATAATATTTGTATTCTTCATGTACAAATTGCAACTGTTGTTTCAAATTCAGTAACTTTTCTTTAGAAATATTGCCATATTTTTCCGAAACTCTGTCTTGATAAACACATATTTCTGTAGTCTTTTTATTTTTTAAGCAATTGACAATTTCAAATTCGGTATTTTCATCCAGACATTCCATGTACCCCAAACTTTTCCACCCTAATCCACCTGATACCATCTCAGGTAATACAAACAGCGTCTTCAGTCCACGTAAAAAAATAAGGTTGTTCTTCTTTTGATATGAAATGTATACCAAAATTGTAAAAGCACATCTGTCTCAGATAGAAAGCCTTAGATGTGGTTATTCTTGGCAAAGGCATGGTTTGTTGCAGATTCATGGTGAGATAACCAATTTCGTTGTTGCTTTTAGCTTTTAAGCTATCCTTTTTCTGTTCTTCAAACGCCTTTCTGTACCTCTCTTTATGTTCTTCATTGCCGCAAGTGCTGCAAGTGTCGCTCTTAGGTTGTCCAAAAGATAAATTAAATTTTGTAGAAAAAATGTTGCTATATGAACATAATTTTACTATGTACTCTTCTGGAAATTTTTTGGTGCGACATACAACCTGTACATTTTAGCTATATTTAGCAGCGGAGAAAGATACATCTTATTAATATTTTTATTCCTTGAATAATGTGATTGTTCGGCAGGAAATCTTTTTATGTGGTCAACAATGGATTCAACAACTTCAGCTGGCAAGCTGGGCCTTTTATCATGGCAGCCTCTTCTGTCTGGACTTGGAGCTACCTCACCTGATTTCAGCTTTCTCTGAATAACAGCAACTTTTTTTCTACCAATGTTGCAACGTTTGCAAACTTGCGTTTGTGTTGCATTATAAGTTATAAAATATTTAAATGAAAACTGTTTTGGATTTTTAGCTGAAGATCTATGGCGCTGAACGGGGCCAATTTTTATACTTTTGAAAAGTAAAATATTTTTGGAATTCTGATTTGACTTGTAGAAACTTTTAAATATATTTTCTCTTGAGTTGACTTCAAACTTCTCATCGTAATTTAATCTGCAACGATCCGTACACAGTACATTTTTTAGATTTGGACTCTTAGCGGCAATTTCTTTTCCCGTTTGAGAAATATATTTTTCCCCTCGATCTCTTGCAATCCTTGCCGTTTCCCTTTTCCACTTACTTGGATCCCTCTTCCTTTTCATAGCAATCGTTTCTGAAGGAAAAATTATTTGGGGTATCTTCTCCCATTGTGTATTTAGGTATGCCAATACATTTCCTCCACATCAACCGGTACTTTGCAAAAAAGTAAGAATTAATCTACAAAACATCTTTAGACGTTTAAATTACTGCATAAAACACTTAAAAAGCCAAAAATCCTAAAATTCTCAAAATTGTTACATAACCCCTTTATCCACTCGCGTCTTCTAGGAACCAAAAGGGTATCGCGCAATAAGATTCTGGCGCTCAGTTCTTCCACAACAGTAACAAAACAAACACACGGTAGCCTTTTGTAGTAATAATAAGGTACCAAAACATTTAATAAAATAATTGTAGATGAAGTGCGGTGTAAAAAATAAGCTACGTTCTGAAAGAAATAACAATCATTGTATATAAGTAAAAGTTATGTTTTTTTTTTATCAAAATTATTGAATTAATAATGCATAATTTTATAATTTAATTTATGTAGCCGTTTAATATGTACGGGATTGACTGCAGTAAAAATAAAGATATATATTTCTATTGTTACTGTTACAAAAAAGAAATACTTATGATAAAATAATGTTGATTAATGTTTTAGAATTTTCATACATATATTCTTCATAGCTTTTAGCAATATTGTATAAAATTGATAACTTAACATATTTTTACTGAAGTTAACCTATGCTTTAAAAAAAGCAATCTTATAAAATAAACCACTGACCAATACATCTCTTTAAACAACTATTTATACGATAATATCGAACCTCTTCGAATTTCTACAACGTACACTTAATCTTTGAACGCATAACAAAATAATATTTGTTACTCCTAGCTTCGTACATAATATAAGTATTGTTCCATAATTACAAACTGTAACTGTGTATTTTATTGTTAATTTTAAATCGTAAAAACAAACATTTTTATTGATTTCATACAAATAAAATCATAATTGAAAATATATATACATACATATTATTTCATTTCAATCAAACAGGGTCCAGCTGACCAAATCACTAACAGATGTTAATAATTGACGATTGTTTAGATTAAAATAAAAGCTCAAAGGCTGTATAATGAGGTTTATTATTGATTAACTTTGGTGCTATATATGTTTTGCTTAAACATGTTGTAAACGAAACAGATGTAGCATTAAAAGTTGGCTATTTATTTTATAATGATCCCAGAAACATCCTTAATATCTTAGTAGCCGCCTTGATAGATGAACACCTCTCAACCACCCTCACCCCTATTAAAAACTTGATCAAGAACGCATAAATTCATCAAACCAGTATTTGCAAAAAATTACTCTTACTCTTTTTTGAACCATATCTTTTATATTTTGTTGTAGATGACGTTGCGTAAGGGAAATGTAGGATTTCTTTAATTAATTGATTTGATTTTCTTATAAAGTTTATTTGCAAATATTTTTTGTTACAATTTATCCCTAATATTAGGCACTGTGTAAACTTAACCATTGCTTAAACTAATTTGGAAGAAAAACATCCATACATTTTAATAATTATTTTAATCTGTTCCATATGGAAGCTATGCTTGGTTATCAGTTTCAGATTAATATACAGGGGGAAACGCTTTTTGACCTTGACCTTATTTTCAAGGTTAAATGAAGGTCACGACGAATTTTTTAAATAGCACCCTATATATTTTATTGTAAAATTTTAATCTGTGGATAAAAGAAAATAATTAAAAAATAAAAAAAAATTTACTGTGTGGTTTTGCCAATACAACGGCATTGTCTTTAGTTCTTAATGTTTAGAATACTATTTAAGAATGCTCAACAAAAAAATCCAGAAGACCTTTGGAAAAAGGTTCCGACATTTCCCCGCCTTTGTCAATTTGATAATAGAATAACGCATAAAAAACAAGAGTTCGTGGGACTGATATGTCGGCATTTTCAGAATATCGCTTTCAGAGACTTAATTGGTTGAATTGTTTTAAAATGTAACAGGTAAAACTAAATTTGCATAAAAACTGCTTGGCAACAATTCTGAATTCATTCCATCGTTTTACAGTAAGGCAAAGTGTTTAAACTAAGTCATTAAATCATGGATACTCTAAGTGTGGCAGAAAAAGTCGAAATGATTTTTATTTATGGAGAAAGTGGCAGAAGAGTTGCTGATAGTATAGCTTTGAAATACACCTTCGAGAAGTACCTTTTACAAAGTTGTGAATGATTTCACTAACTCTGGAAATGTGCAATCAAGAAAAAGAACTCGGCGAGCAACTGTAACTACAGAAGAAAAGAAAATTGCGGTATTAGCTTAGCGTTGAGATAAATCCTCAAGGCAGCAGCACTCGACGACTTGCAATTGACGCCGCAATATCGAAGACATATATTTATGGAGATGATTGAAAATCGATTAATATTTTGTCAATGGGCACAAGAACGAATGCAGTTGGACGTCAATTTCTTGATTTTTTTTGTGGGGCGTCCTGAAGAATAATAGTTAATGAAAAACACAAAAAATGCGTGAAGAATTAGTGTTTATTAATTAATTTGCTTATCTGCGCAACCTTTCATATCGACCCGACCACGTTTCTCTTGTATTGTGTGTAGTGTTTTATATCGTTATTTGATCTTAATTGTTAACATATACTGGGATAGATATGTGTTTGTATATATACGTATGTATATGTGTGTATAATCTTAAAATAAATGAAGCGTTTTTTAACTCTGTCCATCGTTCGTTTTAGACGGTAAGAATTTTAACTGTTATGTTTCTTGACGTCATATTGTATTTCGATTTTCTGTTTTTAGTTGCGCCTGAAGACGAAAAGTAATTTTTTGAAACCGGTTGCGCAGATAAGCAAATTAATTAATAAACACTAATTCTTGACACATTTTTTGTGTTTTTCATTAACTAAAATTCCCGAAGAATTATGGAGAAATACATTCCCTTTTCTGAAGAATAATGTTTATCGCGAAGTACCGACTATGCCAGAAAACATGAAAGAGCGGATAAGAAACGCATGCAGAAATAGTAATCACGAAAATCTTTTAGGATGTGAAGAAAGTTTTAGTAGAAGTGTTAATAAATGTATTGAAGTGGGTGGAGAGAAATATTTGAATATGTATTATAATTTTTTTACTTTTTAAAACCAATTTAAAAAATTGGTCGTAACCTTCATTTAACCTTGAAAATGTATTAACTGTAGAGACTTAGACTCCAAGGCGCATCAATGTGTCTCACACTCCTGTATATGAGCTGTGTTGTGCGATTATCTGATATGTATCGATTTAACTAAAAAAATATTTTTTTCGAATAATTTTATTCTATATTAAAATTTAAAAATTAGGCACTTTTGTCTTGATTAAAACTTAATCTCTACCAATGTTGGTAGTTCGTTGAATATGTTATGTTAACTTAATCCCCATCAATTAATTTTTCTTCTATTAATATTTGTCAAGTCTAAACCTACAAAGTTACAAAGGCAAATATTTGTAATTAAGTGTGATGTCAATCACTGTATTATATAAGCTGTGTATTTTCTTGATAAATTCTTCTGTTTAATTCTAAATAATAATAGTTTGCAAAAAAAAAAAACAATAATTGTGAAAAGTATAATAATGTGTTCCCAATATATTCTGTCGTTTTATTTGTTATTGATAAACTAATAGAGTGATCTTTACTATATTAATTTAGTGCTAATGGATGAGCTATTGCGAACATGGATCTTAGTAGTATTAAATTAAATATAATAATATCCTTGGCAAGAATAGCTTTTTGTTGGATTTCCTCTTCTACGTTGTTCCTTTCTAATTTTTTTTAGTGTACATAAATATTAATTTAATTAAAATTTCAATATTGTACTTGAAAGTAGTTTAATTAATTATAATAGTATCCTCCGCAATCACACATAACCTTTGTTTTCGTAGGATTTCCGCTTCTACGTTGTTGTTTTCTCATGTTATTTATTTCACTGTCATATTCGTAATTTATGTATGAAGAATACAAATCATTTTCTAAGTTATTTACAATCGTATCAATTTCAGATTCACTTAGATGTTCTGTTGATGTACCTTTGTTGAAAACTTTTTGGAACAATTTATTGTTCCTGAGTTGGTTGCAAGCCCATTTTAATAATTTAATAAATCTGTTTGTTATTCCGTCTACTAAGCAGTGCAATACTAGTGGATCTATTTTATTAAACAGACGTTTTGTAATTTTGAAAATATAATCGCGAGTAACTTTTTCAAAGGCACTTAAGATTTCATCGACTATTTGGTTAATATTTCTATTTAAAAAGAGTTCTCCCATTGAGACGATATTTTTTAAACCTCCTGCCCAATTTTGTACGTCGTCTGCGATTCTTGACCGAACATTTGGTGTAAGATTTTCGGGTATAGGAGGGAATGTTTCTAAAAATGTTGTTTGATCTGATCTGGCCATAGATCCAAAATTCATCATGTCAACAGGTCGGCCATTTAGTAGTATTTGATCACCAACTGCACTGAACCGAATTCCTTCCTTATTGAACATCTTATTAGAGCGTGTTAACACTGCTATTACTTCGTCTACATTTTTCGTATTACGAATTGATGAAATAACGGATGCTTTTCCTTGAGACTCTCCTTGAGTTCTGATCGATTCTTTTAACATCTTATTGAATGTTCGTCTGTGCCTGTTACTTCTCAAACTAAGCTCTATTTCGCTCAAACTTTGATTTTGACTTTCTTCAATAATAGTACCAATATTTTTAAAGGTATATACAGAATGTGAAAAAAATAAAATTGAAGCTCCTAATTGTACAATTACAAGTGGTGACTTTGTTTTGGAACTTATTGCTTGATAAATAGCATTTCCTATTCCCATTCCTCCAATTGTTAAATTAACACCGTTTAATCCATACAAGACGAATCTGGTTCCCTGGAAAATAAATGGGTTTTATTTTATGATTTTTATTTATGATAACTTAATTACCGTTCCTAATTGAAAACCTCTTCCAGCAAGGAAAGACACTGTTCTCATGGCTCCAAACATTCCTACACTAAATACGCCACCTGCAATATTTAGGAATGCCGCTCGACTTTCAGCGTTCTTCAAATCTATTTCCTACAAAATATAATTAAGTTATAAATACGTAATTTATCTATTTTTTTTATATATATCTTTACCTGTTTATGTTTTTTTCTGTCTACCAAACTGTTTATACTTCTTCCAACTGCATAAAGTCCGCTTCCAATTCCTACAAAAGCTGCTATTGGTAAAGCTATGGGTGCTGCGGCAGCAAGAAATGGTACAGCGCCGACAACAGCTGCTGATGTACCAGCTATAGACACGCCCCCAGCCACAACACCTGAAACTCCAGCAGCAACATCCGTAACACCAGCAATTTGTTGAAGGGGATTGCAAGCGGGTGATAATTTAGAGCAATAAATCGTGGATCTACCATCATCATCAGCAACGTAACGTCCATCTTTTGGATAGATAATTTCGCCAGGTGGATATTTATTGTTGTCAAGAAAAGCGGACCATGATTCATACACTCGTCCTTCAGTATCAATGATAATTCGACAAGCTACTTTACAAGGGTCAGTTTTACGCTTGCATTTTCGCAGTATAAATACCGGATATGGTACATAATCTGAATCGGGATCATAATCTTTTTTTTCTTTAGCGAATCGTTTAGCTTTTTTTTCTTTTTCTTTTGGAAGCGTTTCTAAACAAACATATATCATTTTTAAGACCACTCTTCCATTCCATTTGCAATATTTATCTAAAATAACATAAAATATAAATATTGTGGGGCCTTTTTTGACTGAGGCACCTCGGCCACAAACGGCCTAAGTGTTATCAGATAAAGTTATATGTAGATCATTGACTAACTAAGCTAAAATCGCTTGCAGCCGAGGTTCAGTGTTTAATACAATATCAACCTGAAACTGTTGATTGTATTGTCGCACCTCGGGCGCAAGCGGCTTCGACTTTATTAAATAGAAATTGTAGATCGTGTCACTTGACATCACTTGACTAAGCGACATTTTATCGTTTTTAGAGATTTTCAAGCTCTCTGGTAGGTAAAGGTGTAACCTATCTTAGAAAAAACGCAGAATACCGAAAGACCTAAAATACTATTTGTTTTAAAGGATAAAACTAAGCGCCAAACACACTATAAGATTTAGTTTTACACTAGCAGTATCACTAGAACTAACACAAGACCTAGAACTAGAATCATTCGGGTTTAGCCGTCTTGAGAGACGTGCGGCTAAACCCGAATGTTTCTAGTTCTAGATCTAGTGTTAGTTCTAGTTTTACACTAGCACAATTACTAGAACTAACGCAAGACCTAGTAATTGTGCTAGTGTAAAACTAGAACTAACACTAGATCGAGAACTAGAAACATTCGGGTTTAGTCGTGAAAAAAACTTTCAGCTGTCAATATCAACTTTAATTTTATTATTATATTTGTAATCCTCATAAAATAACCTTTAAAATGAGTCCAAACTTGACGCATTTATCTCAAAAAAACAAAAAGTTCGAACTTTCCACTTTTAATTTTGACATATTTGTCAAATTCATAAAAAATCCTTTAAATTGAGTCCAAACTCGACATATTTAACTTTAAAATTAATGGAAATACAATCACTTCCGGTTTGAAACGTCAACGTCAATTTTGACATATTTGTCATCTTCATTAAAAAAAAACCTTTAAAATGAGTGCAAAGATGACGCCCTTATCTCAAAAAACAAAAAAATTAGAATAAAAAACATTAAACCCTAAATTAGCAACAATGAAGATGGCAATTTAATTTTTAAATATTAATACCAACCTTAATTTTTTATTTTTTTTTTATTATATTTTTGTTTTTGTGACAAATATTAAGACATTTTATAAAAATTAAGAATATGTCAAAACGACATTGACATTTCAAACCGGAAGTTGCTTATATCTCGAGTAACATTGGAATTAAACGTATCATATTTGGACTCATTTTAAAGGATTTTTCGCGATGATTACAAATATGTCAAAATTGACGTTGACATTCTTAACCGGAAGTTAACCATAACTTCATTAATATTGAAGGTAAATATGTCGTGTTTGTACTCATTTTAAAGGATTTTTAACAAAGATTACAAATATGTCAAAATTGAGGTTGACATTTTAAACCTGAAGTTAATTATCATATAATAGAAGTTTTATAACTGAAAACGGAGCGTTCTTAAATTTTAACCTGTAAACTTGTAATACTTCGTCCTTAATTTCATTTTACAACTTTTTAAACTTTAATTTTGTACATTACTAACTAATAATCCGATTTCGACTTTGATACGTGATCTTTTTTAACAAAACAAAAAGAAATATTAAGAAACTTGTTTGTGAAATGGATAAGAGAGATGTTAATCTATTTGTAGAGTCTCTGAAGATGACCAAGGACCGAAACTGGTGTTATCAATGTTTTATGATAAAAATGGACAGGCACCAAACAATTTCAGAGTTTTAATCTTAATTTCTGGCATTTTATCTAATATGATATCTCCGTCTTCTATTCTGAATCAGGAGTTTGGTTTTGTCTTCGTTGATCCTTCCACCTATTTCGTGGTTTTCAAAGGTTTATTTGGCCGTACTTAATTCTTAAATTTTTAATGTACAAATAACTTACTATTTGTTTCCAAAATTTTACGGAACATTTCCTCAACTGCTTCATCTTGTTTTTTGATGCTATCTCTTATATTTTTCTCCTCCTTGGATGATTTATTTTTGATTTCTTCCTCTACATCAATGGGTGGACCATACAAAGCATACTTTATATTCGCCTTTAATTCATCATGATCTTCGCGTTCGTAACTAGTATACTCATCGACGTTCATAATTTTTTCCATTGATTTTAGAAAATCATATGAAGTCGGAGGTTTTGCATGCTCAGTTTTCAGTAATAATTCGCGCAGTGACACCAGATCTGGAGGAGTATAAACTTCTTTAAATATAAAAGGCTTTCTATCGTAGGATACAATGCCAAATGCAACGGATTTATTTGTAAGAAAATAATCAATCATATGGTCATCAAAATACTTTGCAAAACTCAATATTAATTCATCTACTTGATCCGCATTTGAAATATCCCAAGCGTACAGAACCAAGCGATTTTTTCGAAAAGCTTCTTCGATCTCACGATTTTGCAAGAAGACACAAAAATCCGAAGAGAAAGGATCATCGTGGTGGTGTAAATAGAATAACAAAATGTGATCCTTATTGTGGAGTTTATTAATTTTTGTGGATAAATCTGTTATTTCAAAATCATAATTGAATGATTGAAGAATATTCGCGAATGATCTGCTCGCTTTGATATCAGCACTATCCATTGTAATTTCTAAAATCAAAAAGAAATAAAATATTAAACAATGAAGTCCAAATTCACGGAAATTGTAATAATACCAACCAATAAATTGTTTACTGATTTTATCCAGATACACGTGATTAATTAAGGAAGGCAATAATAAAACAAAATCAAGGAATTATACCTGTAAATATAAAAACAAACATGACAACTTTAATGACATCAATATGGTAAAAGTAATTACATTATTAAGTAGTTAATTGTGTTTTTATGATTAAACTTTAGTGAATAAATTGTTGATCATTAAAATAATGAATTTTTGCACTAAATTTTTGATCTTAAAGGTGAATGAATCATTGGTGACTGTTAATTTATCAAATAGAAATTAATTGTCAAAATGGTCTATATTTTGATTCAAATTAGATGACAAATTTGAAAATGTATCAACATTTATTATTAAGATTATATTAAAACCACTTTGAACCAAGATCTTATCCTGATCAGATCAGGAAAACTATGGTAATCAATAGAGTGATGAATAAATTTGAAGAAATTGGGTTTATGGCATCATTCAAGTAAATGACGATTTTGCAGCACAGATCAATTGCAGCGCCATCAAAACCTTCCGATTTGACACCGTGCGATTTCTTACGCTTGAGTCTTTCCAAGATACAATCAAATATGATCTTCTCATATGAGAGATTTTAGTTTATTTTTGATTCGATGTCCAATGCGTACTATTTTGGTTTGTAGAGTTTCTAGAAACGTTGTAAAGTTAATGTAGTGTTATGAAGAAACTTTTCTCCGTTCGCTGCAAAGTCTCTGAATACTGCAAACTCTTCGAGCATTACAGAATTCCTAGATAATAATACACTGAATTAATAATACATGGTAATATAAACGTTAAAGAATTGGAGAAAACCTCGCTGAATATCCTAAGCGCCTGAATATGCCGCACGGTGTTTGGTCGTCTTTTTAGTTCTTATTCTTTGGTATGTCCAAACTTGCGCGCGGCAAAATTATATCATGTTGCTGCCATGCTATATTTGCACACACTTTAACCTTTCGAGTGCACTGTGGGGTCAATATGACCCCACGACTTATTATTTTATGTGTATTTTCTAAACTATTAAATCTTTTATTTAACCCATATCTTCCCAGTGTTCCATTATTGGAACGGTTAACTTATTAATATTTTTAACATATTTTCGAGAATGTTCATTATTTGTTCTTATACGTTGGTACTACCGGGATTGTTAGCTGTCAAATTCAATATTTGACGTTGTACGTTTCGCATCGACATTTGTAAAAAACAAGTATAAAAACCGAAAGTTTCTTTCAAAATATGGATCGCCGTAAAAAGTAAGTATTTTCTATTTATATAACAAATAAATCTGATACCGTTCCGTTTTTGGAACAGTAGGATAATATGCCTGTGTAAAATATTCCAATTTGATCCTTTTATTTGGAGAATTCTGTTATTTTATTCTAGATTATCAGTAGGCGACATAATCACACTAATAGCAGAAAACGATGAACTGTTGAGTGGAGACATTTTTATAACACCACCTGATGGGGAAATAAGTGAAGAAGATAGTGGTGATGAAGAGTCAGTAAATATAAATCACTTATCCAGGGGTCAGTTGTTAGCAGAAGCCGAATATCGCGCTACAATATCATCAAAAGACGGAGTACAATATGTGCATGATGTCACGAATGAAAACGAATCATTTGAATTTTCAGTCGCTTCCGCTTCTACAGCAAAACCTCCAACAAAGAGAAGGCGAATCGATGTTACCAGGAAATGGAAGTTCATAGATATTCCGGAAAAAGAAGAAAAAGTAACTGAATATCCCTATTTTTTGGAAAACAGAAAATCCTGTGAACTGTTTCGAATTATTTTTTGATAGTAATGTTTATGAACTTTTGCGTTCGGAAACAGAAAGAAATGCTATTGAGAAAGGTAATCATGCATTTAGGGTTACAACGATTGAAATAAAGCATTTTATTGGAATCCTGTTGATGAGTGGATATAACAGTGTTGCCAGATACAGGATGTATTGGGAGAAAAGTATCGACTGCAACTATCAAGGAATTTCATCCCTTATGTCCCGAAATCGATTTGAAGAACTATTACGTTATTTTCACGTTGCTGACAATGCTAATCTTACTCAAGGTGATAGGTTTGCGAAAGTTCGTCCACTTTGGGATTTGCTGAATAAAAGGTGGTTGAAATATTACCCTGGCGATAGAAACTTGAGTATCGACGAGTCAATGATTCCATACTATGGGAAGCATGGAGCTAAGCAACATATTCATGGAAAACCAATAAGGTTTGGTTATAAAACTTGGTCTATATGTACGCGTCTAGGTTATTTGATACACGGCGAACTTTATCAAGGAGCAAGCACCGGAAACACTCATCCAGAATTTGGTGTCGGTGGATCAGTTGTCTTAGACCTACTATCCAGACTACCTCCAGCTAACTATAGTTTATATATGGATAATTTTTTTACGTCTTTACCATTGCTGAACGAACTAAAGAAATTAGGTCATGATGCTACTGGAACAATTCGAGAAAATAGAGTGGAAAAAGCACCACTAAAAGATAAGAAAGAAATGAAAAAAATGAAAAGAGGCAGCTACCATCAATGCACAGATGTATTATCTGGAATAACACTGGTCCGATACAACGATAATAATATCGTTACGGTTGCATCCACCGAGTCCGGTGTCAGACCTATTGGTACCGTAAAGCGATACTGCAATAAACAAAAAAAAGCTGTCGACCAACCCTGTTGTATCGTCAATTATAATAAGTATATGGGTGGAGTTGATCGCTTAGATCAAAATGTGGGGTGTTATAGAGTTGCGATTCGGCTGAAAAGATGGTACTGGCCTTTCAGCTTTACAAAATTTCTCCAGAATACAAAAATAATCGCCACGATCTTTTATCTTTTACAAGGCACATTGTGACTACATACTTTATGTTGAAAGATACAACAAACTCAACATCACCTACAAAGATTCCAGTGCCTAAATCGTCTTTGGCAGTCATAAAAAGAGTTGCTGATAGTGTACGATTAGATGGCAGTAATCATTTCATTGGGAAACA